TTCTATCGGCTAATAGAAATATCTCACTTCCATACGAGGTGTGAAATTTATAAATATTCAAAATCGGGAATAGGTTTATTGTGTATAGTAATCGTAAATAGAATTACAGTGACTTACTGGTTCTCTGTAGACCAGACCAGATATACCAGCAGCCAACTCAGCAATCAGAACAACAAATAATAGTATACCATACTGTAAAAAAAATCAATAGTTAGTCAGCAATAGAATATTTCCATATACTGCGAGATCCTGCATTATGCATGAAATCCAACTTAAAAACAGGACAAACAAAAGTCATAGCATCGTAATGATGTCAAAACATCACATAGGATACAACAAACAATATGCAATATCTCAGAGAGAACGAAAAATCACTTATCACACAGAAATAATAGTCACTATAGCTTTTAGTTTTTTAAAGTTAATTTGTCAGCAAAATTGTGTTTGAAGCCTATGATACGTTTAATACAATGTGTATTCACTAGACATCCTCCTTGCCAATAGCTGAATACCATGACTGAACAGTTCCATAGTTAGGTGTGAATCTTAAGGTGTCATCAAGTCAGCGAATCACACACAGGATTCTCTGTTTGATGATCAAAGCTGGACTATATTACAAAATGAATATTTGTGAAACACTTTCCATTTAACATTAGTCTGAGATGCACAGCAGACTCTTGAATTGCTACCTGTATTGTCATTAGGTCCCTCCTTTTTATTTATAAGATGATTATTTCACTTGTCAATAAACAACGCCAACTCAGTTTTGATTTTTGGTAAAGCTACTAAAAATTGAAAAGGCTGTCAATTAAGTTTTGCTGACAATACAAGCTTAATACATCAATGCTAAGAAGTTCATCGATTGGTGGATTACATTATTATTCAGTGTCACACACTATAGCCATATTACAGATTACCAAATAAACCTACAAATGATTTCTCTGAGCCAAGGCACTATCTGTGTAACAGAGCATAGACTATGACAGATTTAGAATCACATAAAGTTTAGAGATTTAGAGTATATAAAATCAAAAGAATCACATTTATCCTGTACTGGATTATTAAAATACAACTTATCATTATCATATAGACATACCTCTGTCATTTACCTGAATGCATATTTTCTTTTAGAGCAAATACGGTATGTATAGATTTTAGGCTCGACCAGTACTGATTGCTTTCTCGCAGTCAGGTATTAATAAGTACACGCGGAGGCACTTACCAATCTAAGCAACCATGAAACACTCTTGAATGTAGCACAGCATCCTATCAATCCAACAATAATGATGAATCCACCGGTTCCAATTAGAATATACGGTACATTAGAGAAATCATCTGTGGAGAGTTCATTGTACTTATCCAAACCTATCTTCCCCCATATACCAACAGACAATATTGCTATACCGGTGCACTGTAAATAAAAATAGTATTTTTATCAGTTAATTTGTATAATGATTAATAAAAATATTATCTATTCAAAGCAATAGACAATAAAGAATCACACTTATTTTGTTTCCGCTCAGATATTATCTTCCGCCAAATATGCTAATTTTACTCAGAGAAGTCTTATATCTGCTACCAAATACCACGCATGCGTTTATAACATGCTCACACAAAAAATAAATTATAAAATTGTTGTTTATATCATGTTGCTATGTGTAAATCTCCTAACATCTTTTCTTGGATTATACTACTATCGTAAGGGTTGCTAAGAGCCATGGTTTTTTAAAAACACCCAGTAGCGTGATAATTCTGGAATCATTATACCCTGATTCTCACAGTTCACTGATATTACATTATATAATGATTTCCACATGGAGTTTTGTTGTTTTTTTGTGTAAACTGGAATTTTTAGGGATTAGAATGTAACCGCCTGGCGTGTGTGTTCTAGATTTTGTACCCAAATTCTGGGCCTTAAATGCACTCCATAGAACATTTGCATAGATGGGTAGAATGCATGACAAAATTTACAACAATTCTAATACTGACCATATACTGACCACACAAAAACAAAGTAAAAACAGTAATGAATATATGATTCTTTGCATTTATGTTGATTTACGAAACAGATGACAAGCCCAGAGAGTGACAGGGATGGGCATGTCGATAAAATCCTGAGTTTCATTTCACTGCTATGCTGCAATGAAGACTCATGTTCCTCAGAGTTTTCCCGCAAAATGCGCAATATATTATTATTATCTTTTATTTCAGGACAAGCCCATATAAAAAGTAAGAAAAAAAAAATATTAACAAATTACACAGTATGCCTTAAATAGAATCGACCACGCCACATTTGCCATATACGTGATTTAAAAAAAGTATCACTAGATAATAAATTGATTAAAACAGAGTTCTTACTCAACAAAATACGTTGCGAAAAACTGTAGCACATTTTTCTAAGTTTAACCTGAAAATCATCAACATGTAGTCAGGCGAAAGTCTCTGTTATACTACTATTAAAAGAATGAGAAACATTACATATAATTCTAAGAGCGTTGTTATACGCAACACGAATACGATTAAAATCTACCACAGTAAAATCCGACCATAGGTAACTACAATACAGATTTGAACAATAACTACGAAATAGCGTACACTTAACAGGAAGAGAACATTTACTAAAACTACGTAATAAAAAGTTGGCTCGAGAAAACAATCCACGTATTTGTTTTCTCATACAAATACTGTCTTTTCCGTCCTGGGTAAAATGATATCCTAAATAACAATACTGACTAACAAATTGTAGTGGCTTGCCATTCAGATAAACATTGGGAACTTGTTTAATGCCACACTGGGATGGTAAATTATACATACAGACAGATTTCTTAAAATATTATCATTTTTGGGAGTAATGTGTACTAATACTTGTACCAGATTTCCTAGCTGTTTTGATCAGTTGATCTTTAGCTTAATCTGTGCTCACAGGTCTTCTAGTGCGGCCACATATAAAAAAAAACCTGCTTCAGCCAATCAGATTGCTAGATTCAGAATAGCCATGTTAGAATAAAATACAACTGAATATTAAATATTAACCACTGAAGACAAGACACACCTATGTCATTTACGTAGTACATACACTATTAGTGCGAATACTATCATACTGTAGAATACTTACTGTAGCTGGAATTAATTTTAACTAGAAAGACTTTTAGGATGTTTTGTATGAGATTTTCACTGATTTTTGACAAAATGAATGTAAAATATGGGGCGAAAAGGGAAGATTCACTGGATTTTATTTGGACTTAATCATCCTTTCAACAAAAATATTTTATAGAGTATTTTACAGTATTACTAATTGGGTAATACTACAAAGGGAAAGTGAAAATAATTTTAGTCGGCGGGGCTCTAAATTGATTTTTTCAAAGGATTGGATGCATACGACGTGATCTGCATGCATCGATGTGTGATAGTCTTCGCGACAAGCTAGTTTTATTTCGGCATAAATGGATTACTTGTCCTCTATTGAGTTGCATAATTACACACCGACAAAGCACATGAATTGAATCGATTGTAACAGTAGCAAAGGAAATTACATTGTAATTCCTGTATATCTGTGTATATTATGCAATCCAGTAAATGAGACTGAGTGTTATGGCACTAAGTTCAGTAAAATAATCAATTGTCTGTGTTAGACAAGCATGAACAATATATACTGTACACCTAAGGCAGAGAGCTGCATGTGTCTGCTGATTATCTCCGGATATCACTCTTCACTGTCGATATCTGTGATTTCACTGGATTGTATCACTCACAAACAGCATGTAATACATGTATGAGATTATTACGAGAATACCTCAAAGTATGCACTTAGACAGTACAGTGGAAGTATCGACTGTCACGTCCCAGAGGTCGATGCACGGCGTACTGTCTGAGTGCATACTTCTGAGGTATTCTCGTGATAACCATATTATCATACATTATTTCCTTCTAAGGATATATCATGAGAATGCCGAAATACTAAATGTTTAGAACAGAATCAGCAAACTTCTTTGTGTTGAATCCGGTCAAACTCTGGTGGCAGCCATATTTGTTTTTATTAACAGAGGACGCTTATGTGCGTAATTCGCATTTCCTTATATATATAGTAGGATGAAAATACCTCGTAAAATACCACAAAATTACGGCACACTGTAACTTATGGCGTTATGTATAATAATATAGCAAGTATCAATCACCAGAATACAACTTGTTCAGAGAAAATATACAAGTTCCATAATCTAAATTAATATAATGTTCATGAATTTTGATGTTTGCAGTTGAAATGTCAAAATGATATTTTACTAACACACAGCTAAACACAATGCTCATTACTATACACATGTACCCTAAGAATATTTGTACTGTTCGGTGAACTCCAACACTATATAAGCCAGATGAAACCAGAGTTATAGAGGAACCAGAATTGTAATTGCATTTTACCGTGGGTGATATTGAGTATGATATGGTGGGAGTGTGTACAAATCCTCAGCAGTCGCTGGGTTGGTATGACTTGTTAGCTGGTGTATATATCTGGTAGAGTCGCTTATGTGTGGGCTTTCAATACAAACACAATGTTCAGCACAATCAATGAAGTGAAACCTCATTGATGGTGCTGAACGTTATGTTGCATAAAACACAAACTTCAAATGACCTCACTGTGATGATGCATGCATTGTGGAATACGGAAAAAGGGCCTGAAGCATGTGCACTGCGTACACAATATGCTAATAGCTTAAATGATGTTATAATGTAGACATGTCTCATGAATATTACCGGTATTTTAAAATTATTTATAGAAAAAGCATTTATTATGAAACGCCTGAACCACGTATATTCGGTCTTGAACCCAACTCTGTCTATTGTGGTTATTTGAAGACTGTACAAGCTTTCTATTATACTAAACAAGTCACCAAATTTAACAAATGTTTCTGCTTTTTACACTGATAGCCAGCGTAAGCGTTGGCAAGCATAAATAGGTTTTGATTGTATACAGCGCCACCAGTGGCTGTTCCCAGCTCCATGCGTCAGGTAAAGTCTATTTGACTACTGGTGCATATACAGTATCCTTAGTGAATTTTAAGTTAACAAATATATTGTTTCCTTTGCAAACCAGTGAATTTTAAACCTAGTGAAAATTCTTTAGATTTGATCTTTACACAATTACAAAACCTCCTGTTAAGGTCAGATTTTTTTATTCCTTGTTTCGCAAGTTTTTATAAAGCAATTTTTTGAGGGCGGAAATAAAAACAAAATTAATTCTTTTTTTCCATCAGATTTGTGTGATTCTCAAAGAATTATAAGTGAGATCATTGATCAGAGAGAAGAAATGAAATAAAATTTTATTCCATGTATAACCTTGTTTCTCATCTGCATGAGACTTCGGTACTTTGATCATGATAATGCCACGAAAATGCAACTTGGATTTGTTATGCGGCGGGCGGTAAAAAAATGAAGATAAAAATAATATTTTTGTAGCATTTTTTCGCGTGTACAAGTCGGCGGGCGCGAGAAATTACGCTGAAATAAAATTATATTTTTATTTCATCTTCAGCTCCTGTTCATTCAGCGGGTACGCGAAACAAGGGATAATAAAAGTATGGCCTAATTGTTATTTAAATGTGAGATGACTTAAAATTTCTAATCATGTGCAATATCTCCTATTCAATAGTCATGTTTCACTACAGTAAACTCCATTGGAGGTGTTTTTAATCCACCTGTCAATATTTTAGAACTCCTGAGTTATATATTTAGCCTTTATTTTTCGACAAAGCAATGTTTTTTTTGTGGTTAATGTGCAGAACAATGATCACATCATATCATGCCTAATGTGGGTTCCATGATATGTAATACAAAGCTTCTAAAATGCATCACATGAAAAACTGCATGACAAGAGTGGAATACAGCCATACCCAATTTATTTTTCACTTGAAAGAATAGTAAAAAGATGGCATAATCAATACATCATCTCTGTTTGACATTTAGAACAAACAAGATTGGATTCCTTCAGGGGGCATCACTGTCTTTGAATCTTTACATTAATAAAGAGCAGCATCCACCCCCACCCCAACCCATCTCTCTAATGAGTAACTTGAAGATCTGTGGGAAGACGTCATTATGGTGACATATACAATGCCAGCTTGTATAAGTACTCTAAATGTGATTTAGCCTGAAGGTAATGCGTTACTCTGACATTAAAAAAAAACATCTGTCCCTCGGCCTATACAAGATAAAAGTAATCTGTAAAGAAATACTGGTTTCACTCATGGTAATCCGTGGTATCTGCAAATGTATGAAGAGCTGTGGATTATCATTTTACAAACCCAGCTACCGTAGGCCATTAAATTATATACACCACCCAATACAGTTTTGACAATCACCAGGCTTTGCCTGCAGTCAGTGTACTCTGCCAATCAAATAAAACAAGACGTAACTTATTTGCATATTATAATGAGCATACAATCAGCTACAAATCACAAATACCAGTATAGGAATGGCTCCATGAGTACAGAATACAATTTATTCCATGTTACAAGGGCATTTACTGTAAAATCTGTATTAGAAACCGCGGCTTCTATTAAAATGATACAATGTTATGGAGGGGATGCGGCTTCTATTAGAGCATCTACACATATGAGAAATGATAAAATTTTGGTTCTCAACTATTCACACCAAATGGGTGCGACTTCTATTATAGAGATGCGACTACTAATACAGATTTTACGGTAACTGTTATCTTTGCA